AATTCTCTAATTTTGGTGAACATTTTTGTAATTTTTGGTAAAAAGTGATTTTTTCCACATCTTGTTGAAAACCACAAGTCTGATTGTTTTGATACTATACATATTGTTCATTTTTTAATGATACTTTCTGTTCTTTAATTGAAATGTGCATTGCTAACAGCGGAGCTATCTCAGCCGACAGGCTGCTTGTATTTAATTATTATAAATAATTACTCTCCATAATTAAGAGTAAACCGTCATGGTGTCTCAAATAGTAAACTATGCATATGGTTCACCGTCTACCATGATGAGAAACCATTGCGAATCAATTATCATAATTAATTAGTAGTCTTAATTAAGGAAACAAAATCTGGAAGAAATGTTAAAAACAAGTCATTGTTGATGACATACCAGTAGTCCTTATATATTTCCTCGATGTGTGCTGTATGTGTGAATTTTAAACTTGATTGTTCCAGGCATGTCGTATATATGGATCCCATACTCCATTCTTTAAAACAAAATGGCTGACATTTGGCCATTTTAAACTTGATTCAAAATTAAAAAAATAACATGCATCAAGGCCCTATTGATAAAAAAATGGTGAAAGCTGCTAGAACAGATGATGGCTATGTCTCTTCTTCAGTATGGTATTCAAATAAAGTGAAATAACAACAATTATAAATAATTAATGACCAATTTCCACACTAATGCAGGCAATGAGCTGTCACTATGGCATGTAACACATTTACATCTGTCTTCATTATTATTTAAAAATCAATATACATTGAATTGGATCTATTAAAAAGACAGTTCCCTCTTGGAGATTGAGTGGATGTTACTGAGATATGATGTATTGCTTCCTGAGATGAAAGTTTTGTTGGACAAGTTTCAATGAAAAATAATCTCAAAGAAGATAAAACAAAAAAATGAATAGAACAGTTTCTTTGACTCATAACCCACTGTTATGTTTTATAATACTGTACATTGTCTAGTCTCTTCCTTATTTTGTTTGCATGGGATGAAATTGATGTAAGCGGAACTGGGCAATGTTTATTTTGTGTTCTGGTCAGTGGATGTCAGAATAAACTAAAGAACAAAGTGTTGAAAAGTGTATGTTATGATTGTGTGATACAAGTTTCTGACCTCATTGTGAGAAATGAACAAACCATTTTCCTCATGCGATTCGACAAATGAGGCTGTCGCAGGTCATATTCTACATTCTCAATAGTGACATATATTGAGAAGTGATCATTTACCAGAATAATGAATGTTTAATGATGCGCCACAAGAGTAAAGTAATGTTTACATAAAAGGGTTTTATTGTTACGCCATATAAAGTAACAAACTAACATCCCAGTAATTTGAAAGTCTTTTTTTTTTATTTTCTTCATACAAATGATTATTTATTGTGTTACACAGAAACAGCTAATTTGCACTGTAGCGTTAGTTTCAAATATAGCGTAGCTGAGCATAATGTCATGTGATTAATTATTCATGGGGAAGTTGGATTCAGACAAACAAGAGCAAAAATTGTGGCATGTTTATAACTGTTGTGGTGTTGAAATAATTTCTTACTTACTGGCTTTGTTCAGACAATCTTTAGGATTGCAAACAAATCACTGAAAACACAGTAAAGTAACGCAACGCAGTCCGGGTTTAAAACATTTTTAGCGTTTTCTCACTCTGTCTTCATTCGATCTCTTTCATGTGCTGGACAGCGTTCTTATATTACGTCAGTTCTATTTAGTACGCTCCTGAAATCGCAACAATCACTATGTGAACATATTATGACAATGCGGTGTACATATAACTCACTAATGCGGATTTATTACTTATCAACAGAGTGGGATATTAAATACGGTAATTATTGTAGGCATTATCGTTTTACGATGACATTTCTGTCTCTAAGTGGGCCTGTTTGTTAAATGCCATTACCAATAATTCATACATGCTACTGGATAAAAAAAATTTAACGAAACAGACATATATTATATATACTGTATTAGACGATAATTATCTTGTGATTGTTATTGTATATCGTGCCACTTCTAAGATTTTAACACGGCCGGCAACATGCATACTCTTTAGAATACTGCATGAATCTTTACATTTTACTATTTATCTTTGTAACTGTGTACCTATATAGAAGTCTCTTTCTGTATTTTCTACTTAACTGTTATACAATTATATAATAATATTTAATATTCAACGAAGTCCAAATGAACATCATTTATAAAAGATTACCGTACTGGTAGTTTGTAGCTCTTACTCTAAACGTTTCTGAACTCAGAAAAATATCAATGTTTTTGGCGGAGACATCAGAAATATACAAAGATATAGCGAAAAACGTAGGTAGACAACCTTGCTCACTCGTGATAACACGCCAGTAATGACAGACCAGTGACTTTTTAAAACAATTATCGTTCGGATCTCATAAGGTGCAGAAAATCAACTATTATTTACGCAGTTTCATGAATTACGGTAATGAAATACTCTGTAATAGTTATAATTTAGAATTACTATGACAACACTTACAGGATGCATGTAAAATGCAACCAAGTCTGCCAGCACTGTGATGTGGGAACGAGAGTGGCCATTTTACCGCAAGTGATAACAAAGCTATTTAAATTGTTATTGATAGCTTCCACTATTATTACGTACTCATCCCTACATGTGGTGTATGTAATATTGTCATTTGTCTCCGCCTAAATTTGTTTACATTTGGTTGCTAAGCAACACCTTCTTTAAAGCTTATGTAAGGTGTAATGTTCATTTTCCCACTGCCACAGATGGCTTTTTTTTGGTCTGAAGCTATTTTTGTTAACACTACAGTTAATTAATGTTATTTGATTATGATACGCAGTACATCATTAAAGACAGCAGCTCGTCTGTAACCAATTTGTTATATCATTATACATTATATGTATCTACATGTAGGTATTCTTTATATATGTGTGTGCCCGGAGTGATTTAATCACTACTAATTTATAATTCAGACTCCACTGGAATGATGAATCCATGGATCCCAGATGGCGTCATTTGTAGCCTAGATATATCTCAATAGATATTTCTTAGACCTGCTTTGAATTCTTTTAAATGATGGCTGACAGGAAGTTGTATGCTAAAATGACTGACAAGTTGTATGCCAAAATGGATGACAGGAAGTTGTATGCCGAAATGGCTGACATACATATGTATGCCAAAGTAGATGATTGACAGTTTTATTCCAAATATCTGACAGGAAGTTGTATTCCAAAATGGCTGATAGATGGTTATATTCCAAAATGAATGACAGGAAGTTGTATGCCAAAATGACTGACAGACATATGTATGCCAAAGTAGATGATTGACAGTTTTATTCCAAAATGGCTGACAGACGGTTGTATTCCAAAATGGCTGATAGGAAGTTGTATTCCAAAATGGCTGAAAGACAGTTGTATGCTAAAATGGCTGACAGTTGTATTCCAAAATGGCTGACAGTTGTATTCCAAAATGGCTGACGGAACGTTGTATTCCAAAATGGCTGACAGACAGTTGTATGCCAAAATGGTTGACAGGAAGTTGTATTCTAAAATGGCCGACAGGAAGTTTATTTCAAAATGGTTGACATGAAGTTGTATTCCAAAATGGCTGACAGACAGTTTTATGCCAAAATGGCTGACAGGAATTTGTATGCCAAAACGGCTGACAAGCAGTTGTATGCCAAAGTACCTGATTGACAGTTGTATTCCAAAATGGCTGACAGGCAGTTGTATGCCAAAATGGCTGACACGCAGTTGTATGCCAAAATGGCTGACAGGCAGTTGTATGCCAAAATGGCTGACTGACAGTTGTATGCCAAAATGGCTGACTGACAGTTGTATGCCAAAATGGCTGACTGACAGTTGTATGCCAAAATGGCTGACTGACAGTTGTATGCCAAAATGGCTGACTGACAGTTGTATGCTGAAATGGCTGACTGACAGTTGTATGCTGAAATGGCTGACTGACAGTTGTATGCCAAAATAGATGATTGACAGTTTTATTCCAAAATGGCTGACAGGAAGTTGTATTCCAAAATGGCTGACAGACGGTTGTATTCTAAAATAGCTGACAGGCAGTTGTATGCCAAAATGGCTGACAGACGGTTGTATTCTAAAATGGCTGACAGGCAGTTGTATGCCAAAATGGCTGACTGACAGTTATATGCCAAAATGGCTAACTGACAGTTGTATGCCAAAATAGATGATTGACAGTTTTATTCCAAAATGGCTGACAGGAAGTTGTATTCCAAAATGGCTGACAGACGGTTGTATTCTAAAATGGCTGACAGGAAGTTGTATTCCAAAATGGCTGACAGACGGTTGTATTCTAAAATGGCTGACAGGCAGTTGTATGCCAAAATGGCTGACAGACGGTTGTATTCTAAAATGGCTGACAGGCAGTTGTATGCCAAAATGGCTGACTGACAGTTATATGCCAAAATGGCTGACTGACAGTTGTATGCCGAAATGGCTGACTGGCAGTTGTATGCCAAAATGGCTGACTGACAGTTGTATGCCAAAATGGCTGAATGACAGTTGTATGCCAAAATAGATGATTGACAGTTTTATTCCAAAATGGCTGACAGGAAGTTGTATTCCAAAATGGCTGACAGACGGTTGTATTCTAAAATGGCTGACAGGAAGTTGTATTTCAAAATGGGTGACTGACAGTTGTATGCCAAAATGGCTGACAGGCAGTTGTATGCCGAAATGGCTAACTGACAGTTGTATGCCAAAATGGCTGACAGGCAGTTGTATGCCGAAATGGCTAACTGACAGTTGTATGCCAAAATGGCTGACTGACAGTTTTATTCTCAGAAAAAAAGTACATTGTGCTCTTTTTGTCAGAATAAAGATTTCTAAAGTCAAATTGAAGTGTCAAACAAGAAAACTTGTAGAGTTGTATGCCAATTATGTAAACCAGCGGCAGACATTTGATAGCCTCTTGAATGACTTTTCTGATATTCTCCAAATCTTTGTCATTTGATATCATACTTCTTGCAAGTATAGTTGTTTATTTTTGAGTCATCATGCTGTTAGAAGGTAAATTTCATTATTTGACATGCACAAAACATCTTCTATTTGGTGAGATGAAAAAAAATGAATCTGAAAAACCATCAATATTTTGAAACTCATAAGGCCTAGAAACAAAACAAAAAAACAAATCCCAAAGTGTTTTCCAAAATCACTGCACACTTTTGCTTCTATTTGCGAGAAAACTTAATGTTTCTGAATATTTTTAAATTCTGACAAAATCCTAAAATCATAACTAATGCACACAATTACTAGTAACATGAGTATTTTTTTTTTAAAGACTATTCTACAGTGAAGTTAAAAAATGGCAAACATACATCATTATTTATAATTAAGAATGTTCAATCTGTGGCTTGGCACAAACTGTTATGCAAAGCCTGCACCCGACTCTGTACACTGCAACTACCGGTATAACAATGTTGTTCAGTGGCCACTAGGGGGCGTGCTTGTGGAAATCTAATCTGTGATAGTAATTAGTTTATCATTTAATAATGTACTGTAGTAGTTAGATTGTTGTTCCTGTTTAATAGGGATCACTTGTATAACTTCGGGCTGTAACCAAGTGTACATGTCTGCAATGCATGGCTGCTGAGTCTTGTGCATCTAAATACCATATTTACTCTATTAGAAGCACATGTCTAATAGAGGCACACATACATTGTACAACATTTATTGCTTGCTTGATCATTGAAATGCGACATCTTCTTAGACGTTATGGTTTTCAATAGCTTGAACTTGTGAACTGGATATGATAAATTTCACTTATACCCATGTGTAAAAAAGTGAAAACTGTGATCAATACCCACCTTGCTGATTTGTATGCAATGTGCAAGTTTTTGTCGTCCATGGTTCATTAGCAATCAATGTAACGTCACTAATGTCAATTATCTTCTAAACTGCTCATTTTAATACAACTTTGCCTACAGACAATATTCAAATATTTTATGTATGTTTGTATAGTGTCCTAAAAGCAATTAAAATTAAATTTGTCAAATGCATTGCCTATTTATTTTTGTAATTTTTGCTCATTCACATGCATTCAAAACACTTTGCATTAGGGAGTATTTAAGTGCATTTAAAACAATTGACTCATTAATAAAGTCTGTTGTAAAAAGTCTTTGTTGGAAGTGTATAAATCGTTATTGTGTCAGTTTCAAATTGCTCGCTGTGACTGAAAACTGAGCCACTTAGGTCAGTTTCAGACTGCTCGTTGCGACTGCAAACTAGGCCCCTTAGGTCAATTTCAAACTGCTCACTGTGACTGCAAACTAGGCCACTTAGGTCAGTGTCAAACTGCTCATTACGATTGCAAACTAGGCCCCTTAGGTCAGTTTTAGACTTCTCGCTGTGACTGCAAACTAGGCCTCTTAGGTCAGTGTCAAACTGCTCATTGCGATTGCAAACTAGGCCACTTAGGTCAGTTTTCGACTGCTCGCTGTGACTGCAAACTAGGCTCCTTAGGTCAATTTCAGACTGCTCACTGTAACTGAAAACTAGGCCCTTTAGGCCAGTTTCAGACTGTTCACTGTGACTGAAAAATAGGCTCCTTAGGTCTTTTTCAGACTGCTTGCTGCGACTGCAAACTAAGCCCCATAGGGTAAGTTTTAGACTGCTTGACTGTTTCTTTATCCAATTCAAGATTGTCGAATGGTGGCCATTTTAGTGCTAAAAATCAAGCATTTCTGCCATTTTGGAACTGGATCTCAGTCGTGCATAGATGTATTTACTTCAAATTTAATTGGTACTTGATGCACACAAATTGTTTCCCAGATTGGATTCAAAATGGCCAACTGGTGACCATTTTGTTTGACAAATGCAGTTCCAGGGTCATATCTGACATGCCCTGACAGATCACATACATAACACATCATTTCATACATAAGCACATGCATTTGTTTCATCTCATTCAGCAAAAATATACTGGCTCAAGTTTGTAGCTTGTCTGATGTAGGAGTAATAATACAATGTGGATAGTAAAGACATGCATGTCTTGTATCTTACAACTGTGGCACCACTCTACTTGACGTAACCTAGCATTTTACTAACCACACCAACATCAATTGACACATTTAAATAGGTCATTGCTTTCTTCTGCAAATTAATCAACCTTTTTTTCTTTGGAATGTCTGGTATTTAGCTTCATAAGAGATCACTTTGAAAAATTACCAACAGAGACTGTGTAATTTTAAATGACTTGAATTTTTAATTGAATTTGGATACTGTATTTGTTCTATTAGAAAAACATCTCCCATAGAAGTGCTTATAAACCAAAAAATATTATATACTGGATCATTAAAATGTTACTTATTTTGACTCTACGCGCTTCAGTTCTTTACTGACATACTTTCTAGCACACGTCAGTTTTTTCCATTCATTTCTTTGATTATGCTTTCAATAACAGGGAAAATGGACCCAAGAAGCAGATGGAACTGTTAAGACAAAACTATGAAGAATTTCATAGAAAGAAGAATAAGAAAATACAAGAGGGTTCTAGTGACCCATAAATTATCTATATGTGATGTCTCTAATGCATCAGTGAACTTTGTGTAATGTTGACTCTGATATCTTAATATACCACAGTGACCCTCAAGTTGTGTACTCAATGATTCATCTCAGTTTATGTTATTCCATGAGATGAACAAAATTCTGCCAGACTGACAATTTGCCTTTATGCTAATGTCCGGATTTTTTAATTTATTGCTGTAGCATTGCATATTTTATGGTGAAGTTTTTGATTTTTAAATGGTTGGGTATTTGGAATTTATATAAAGAAGATATTGCTATCAATCAGTGCAAATTCTATTCCAAAATGTATCAATAATGCAGTATTCAGAGATATTGGACAATGGCAATGCATGATTAGTTATTCAGCAAACCCATGCATAGTAATGAGCTTAATTTGCATATTCAGAGATATTGGACAAGTGCAATGCATGATTAGTTATTCAGCAAATCCATGCATAGTAATGAGCTTAATTTGCATATTCAGAGATATTGGACAAGTGCAATGCATGATTAGTTATTCAGCAAACCCATGCATAGTAATGAGCTTAATTTGCATATTCAGAGATATTGGACAAGTGCAATTCATGATTAGTTATTCAGCAAATCCATGCATAGTAATGAGCTTAATTTGCATATTCAGAGATATTGGACAAGTTCCTGTTTAGTTTCCTGGTCAGTGATGGTAATTACACTCTCACTGACAGATTCATTCAGACATGTAGTTGGATCTATGAGAGCACAGTAACTATTGGCAACCATGCCAGGCTAGTTCAAAGAAAGCTTAGAAAGAAAATCTGTGTGCTGAGAGTATTTAAGGTAGCCGAATTAGTGATTATTCAAAAGAAGCATGCTAATTATTGTATTTAACAAGTTTATAATATTAACAGTATTAAAATTATGTGATAGCATAGATCTCTGGTCTGCTGTCTGTGTTTGAGTTGAATTTTATGAGAAAATGAGCTAATTCATGCAAATTTGGTAATTAACATGCATAGATTCTAATTTCTCAACTAATAACTTCTATGGATTAGCCCAGAACACCTACGTTGTTGTATTGAAATCTGATGAATGGTTGTTGAAATATTTGTGATGGTGCATGCTTTATACTATATTTTATGTCAAATATTAGCCAATGCATATCTATATATAATCATCGTCATGACAACCCAGTCATGCTTCTTGTCTGATGCCTTCACTATAGAGATGACTGTATATCAGTATTTGCAGAAGTGCACGAGATAGTCATGCATATTAATAAGATCATGTGACCAAAAATGGTCATCTGATATATTGGTCACAACACTTGTCTGATCCCTATCAAAAGTACTTGAGGTAATACAGTTGATTACTCATTAATGAAGGGGAGCAAAGGGGGATAGCTGGTACAGATTACAGGAAATAAAAACGGCATTTTACGTTTTTACAGGAAATAAAATGAAAGTTCCATTTACAGTGAAAAATAGGTTTTTACACTTTACAGATAAAGCAAATTTGTAATTACATTTTTATAATATTTTTGATAACTTGAGTTTAAGAATCGAAATTGGAAATTGCGTACGAATTACGACATTTAATTTGTAAAATGCTTTATATGCTTACAAAAAATAATATCTGTACAAATTACGGACGAATAAAATATCTGATTACATTTTACACCTTGCCCATGTCTACGAATTTACGTTTTTTATTTAGTTAAATTACATTACGAAAATAAAAACAATTGTTTACAGCTTACGAAAATACCCTTTGCCGACCCTCATTAAGTTAATCATGCCCTTGTCTGTTCCTACATTATAGAATGAGTTGCCCGAGTTAATCTGCAATAGTTCTATTGCAGATTGGAATTATGCATATTAATAGGGTCATATGATTATCTGGTCTTGTTAAGTTGTATTTTTCCCTGCTTTCACCCAAAAACTAATCACTATAGTGAATTACCCAGGGGTGTATATCAAGTCTCATTGAAATTAGTGGTATTTAAGACAAAAAGAAATTAATATACCCCGGTATGTAAATTAAACAACTAATTGCACTTTCAACACCAAACTAAGTACACATGCACCTATGTATTTCATTGAAATGTCATGACTAGTTTTTGAGATATCAGTAGAAAAGCTAAAAATTGACTACTGTTATGCGTTATGTTATTATTTTTATGCATCGATTTTAACCCAAAACTGAGCAGGTATTGCACATTTGCCAAGAACATCTATTAACCAAGTTTCATTGAATGTAAATTTTTGTACTTGAAATATTGGTCGAAAAGCCCAAAATAGTGAATTATTATGCATGGGACTCTAATTCAAAACTAATCAGGTCTGTGTATTGTCCTAGATCATCTATATATCAGGTTTCATTGAAACATGATTGGTTCTTGAGATATTTTGAGTTTTGATCTCCATTTCTTCAAACTGGTAATAATACAATGACCAGTTTTTTTATGGTGCTAAACTTTCTTTCGACCACAAGGTCGCTTGTTACATCAAATTAATCATAAAAATTAGAAATAAATCTAGGAGGACTTCTCAAGGTACATGTATACTAAATATGTGTATGATAGAAGTAATCTAGCTTAGTAGTTAAGACATGCATTTCAACAATGATGCATGTGTTGTCATTCAGCTTCTTATCAGATTCAGATTACAGGCCAATATACAAAATGTATCAGTTTGGAATAGATCATATGCAAACTTTTTGCCAATTATAGCATGTCCTGAATTTTCATTCAAGGACAGGGCAAATCTGATCTTTTTGACTTCTTGCAAAATACCAGCCACCACTCAATATGTAGGTACCTTGGTCAAATTTATTTATTTCATGATTATGTGGTTGATTCTTAATTTTTAGGAAATATTTGTCATTTTAGGTTAAAAATTATATTTTTGAGTTTTTCTTGAGTATGACCAGCCCAATTTCTTTGATACTTGTATGTAGGTACCTTTGGTTGGTCTCTATCAGATTTGTTCATTTATAGATGAAATCATTCTCTTAATTTTTGTGAAATTTTTCTGTAAAAAAATGATATTTTCAACTTCTTTAAAACCACTTTGTTTTTCATAAAAATTGGTACACAGTTTTGGTTTGGAAGATGCAAGTGCATGGAATATTTTAGCTCATGGCTGTGCTAAAAATTGGATATGAAGATTTTTTTAAATTTAAATTTAGTTTATTATAAAGTTGAATTGCCAGCAATGTATCTTTTAAATAAATGACTCTGAATTCACATTTTTATTAAGCTGATCATCTGTCTGTCATTTTGTCAGAACTTTTTAGCTGTCGACACAGCAGAGCTGTTCATATTACTGATTGTCTGTCGTCGTCAACTTTACAATTTCAACTTCTTCTTTGAAACCGCATGTCAAAATGTGTTTTAAATTTGATAAGCAAGTACCTTGGTTGGTTATTTCTCATATTTGTTCATTTCATGTCAAAATCTCAAATTCTCTATTTTTGGTAAATATTTTTGTAATTTTTGGTAAAAAGTGATATTTTCGACTTCTTGTGAAAAGCGGCAAGTACAATTGCTTTGATATTACATATATAGGTACTACATGTGGACCTCTCTCAGATTTGTTCATTTCGTGATGATATCTTCAATTCTCCAATTTTGATGAATATTTTTGGTAAAAAGTGATATTTTTTTTAACTTGTAAAAAACAGCAGGTCTGATTGCTTTGTGTCGCATACGACTTATTTACCACTTCCGTGTCACTGAGAATGTTCTAGAACCGTACTGTGTCTGGGTGGAATATTCTAGATTTTTTTTAGAAACTGGTTGAATAAGTAATAGAACACTGTAGGAGGCAATAGAAGGTAATGGAACATTCTAGAAATTTGTAGTAAGCTCCAGACTCATTATGTATGCTGATGTAATGGTCTATTTATAGACAGTGGGTATATATAGGGGAGTTGTTCAGCACTGAG